TGGGTTACGAACTGGATCCGCGGCCATTTTCCCTGCTGCCACACAGTCGCGGCTTCCTGTGGGCGAGATCGCGGTAGCAAGGAGACGTTCGGGGAGGCTTGTGGTGTGTTTTTTGGCATTTTGGGAGGGTTTTGGTGTACTTGTCAGCATGGCTCCAAAGAAAATGCAGAGCAGGCTTGGCAAGAATAATTTGCTTTGGGTTGCAACCAATTCGGGTTGCAACCAGAGTCACGGAACGGATTAAGTTCGTAACCCGAGGTACCACTGTATTTGCTAATTATAATCCTAAAGCATGAAAATATGATCTATGCTTAATTCATAGATGTTCTTCATGTCTGTAACTGCAACCAATTCGGGTTGCAACCAGAGTCACGGAACGGATTAAGTTCGTAACCCGAGGTACCACTGTATTTGCTAATTATAATCCTAAAGCATGAAAATATGATCTATGCTTAATTCATAGATGTTCTTCATGTCTGTAACATAAAAATATTTTCAGAGCTGCCTAGCTTCAGCTTGAAGAGACTCATAAATTTTCATCTTATATGTTACTGAAACATAGAATTCCACATGCAGGATGAGTGTAAAACCACAATTAACTGTTAAAATTCATATGGAATCTGAAACAGTGAGATGGGCGGTGATAAATTTGAAATATGAAAAAAATATTTTCTGGGGAATTCTGGGAGTTGAAGTCCACCCAACTTAAAGTTACTGAGGTTGAGGAACCCTGAAATATGGCAGATCTCAAGGAAGATGAAAACTACAGTATTTATTTTTTTCATATTTCAAATTTATCACCGCCCATCTCACTGTGGAGTATGCTTATTCTGTGGGGAAATTTTACCTCAAGTGTTACCAAAGTAGGTAATCCCCAATTCAAAGGAATTACAATCTGCCACTAAACATAAAAACCACAGTAACAGTAATTTTTAAGATCAAATTATTGATAGACCTGGAGGAAGTCGAATGCTAACCAATCTTCATCCTGATGGCCATAGGAATATTTTACACCCTCAACAATTTATCCAAACATAGAATGGCCACTAAAGCTAACCTCCAAACTAAATGTAATACTAGATCTCAGTGAATCGGTTCAAAACTCTAAATTTGCACTGTTTTTAACAGGATTTTTTTTTTATTGAAGCAGACAACCTCTTTGAAGCATAATTATATCACTAAATTTAAAATTATTCACTTAAGCTGTTACACTGAATATCTCAAGGAAGTGTATGCCGATCCCTAACCAAATGCCAATAGGATTTTTTAATGCAAAGGATAGAATATTTTGTATAACAGAAACCTAAAAGTAACAATAATCCTTACTCCATAAAAGCCTCTCCCTAAAGCTAACCCTGATACTATACAGCTCAGTAAGTCTAAGCCTAACCCCAACTTCTTGTTACCCAATAGAGCAAGCAAACCATATATAAAGGAACTACTGCAAAATATGAAATTTCTTTTAACCATTATAATAAAATTAGCCATAGCCCTAGTGATGCCTATGCCTAACCCTAACCCTAACTTCATTGTAATTGCAAAAGAATATTTTTACCCAAAATTTCCCCAAGCATTCAATCCCCACTATAATACAAACTAGCACCTATTGTAAAACCTAATAGTCACCCTTAAATTAACTATACCCTTCAAAGAAGCCTAAGCCCAAATTCATCCTAAGGCTTATATAACTTTTTTATCTGAAACTTTAATCAAGCACACAATCCACCCTTTAGTGAACTTGTTAGCCTATCACGGGCCATAAAAACTCACAGTAAAGCTACTGCTAACACTCAACTGAGCAACAGATCTGAAAGAAATTTAAGGCTATGCATCACTTCACTCTCATAGCCATAGAATTTTCATTTCCTAAGTGTTACAAGAAAAGACAATTGCTACTATAATATAAACCTAAGACTTTTACTAATTATACAAACTCATACTTAAGCTAACATACCACATTTCCCATAAAGCCCAGGGAAATCTAACCCTACCCCCAACTTTACCCATTGCCAAAAGGATTTTTTTACCCTAAACGTTATGGCCAAAACTATTCCCACCTAAGCAGAAATCTAAGATTATCATTAAACATGAAAGTTCACCATAAAGCTAATCATTATAAGAAAATTAACCACTGACTTCAAGCAAATGTAACTGTAACCCTAACTTCATCCTGATCACAATAAGAAATGTTTACTGAAAATTTTACCGAAGTACACAAACCCTCACAGTAAATGTATTTATATATCTGTGTAAGTTTTGTGTAATTGTAATATATGATTTCACATAGTTGGATCTAATGTATTTCTGTGTATTTGTTATCTGTATTGGCTTGTCACTATTGTTTTTTGTACCCCAACTAGCATACTTTAAAACTGAGGTTATTAAAAATGTTATAATGAAATAAAGTATCTCACTACTGACTCTGCTAACATGGACTCTGGAACTTTACATCATCATCTGGATCACTACATGCCTTTAAAGTATCACAAAGCAAGACCAACCTTCCTATAGCTCCAGTGCTGGTTGCCTTTCATACCATGACAGTCATAAAGTGTGACAGGACTACTGTGTGAAATCGCATCGAAGCAGAATTTTCTGGTGTGAAGAGGTTCTCCTGGACGGATGTCTTCTCTCCAACCAAAGGTGAACAGCTAAGAAAAACAGTGAAGGAAAACAGTGATAGAATGTGGCCTTTGAAAGAAACACATGGCAGCAGGACATAATTCCATTTAGATGTCCTTATATGTATTTTGGTGCACTTGAACCAGTCATTAAGCTGAAGTAGTTTAGCATTAGAGTAATAATAAGCCTACAACACTGCTAAAAATTAAGGTTAGATTTAGTTAAAGGATCAGAATAGTTTAAAGGGAAAAAAGACTTTGAATATAAAAAGTTTCACAATGGACCCAAAGGAAATGCATACTCCATGAGAAATTAAAACCTAACCACCTTTCTATGGAACTAATACAAATGCTGACAGAATAATGGATGATATGAGGGAAGCCACAGAATAGTGACGCTATGAAAAGACAAGCATTGACAGAAATACTCTGAAAGCTAATTAAGAATAAGGTAGGAAATCTATGTCTAGGCTATAAGTACTTCAATGTTCACATCACTGAGTAGTTTTCTATAAAAACAAATCAGCAGCCAAGGAGACAGATTTTGGTCTAATTGTCTTATTTCCACTTGAAGTGTTATATTGAAGCATCACACTGGCCTACTATCTGAAATTACGGCTTAGACAAAATTCAGCAAGTATTAGGCATCAGTTTGTTTAAGAATCTGAACAAGTCAGTATTGTCTAGAAGTTTTCACAGAAATATGCACTTCCAAACATGAATTTTCTCTACCTTTTGAGCTGCAAACAAGATTTTATACCACTTTGCAAAATAGTCCAAATGCTATACAAATTTCCAAAACTTCCAACATGTTATCACTATCAGGAAATGCACATATTCTTTCCCTCATTTAAGATAGAGATGGAGGTCATATTCCAAAAAGTTCATCTTGTGTTTATGGGAATTATTTTGCCTATTGGAGAGGCAGCTTCTTTTGTCCCCAGATTTCCAATTCTTAGTGTTTAATTCAATTTTGTTGGGATACCACTGGCAGAGTTTGCTGTTATATAACATGTTCAGAATTTTTTGGGATAGCACATATCACAGTGTTTACTCTGTAATGCTGATCTGGCACCATGGTGAACAGAAGCTTTTTGAGACTTCTGACTAAATTTGTTAAGAGTTTCAAAAATAATTTGTTGCAACTGCTCTCATAATGTCTGAACAAGGTTTTTCAAACCACCAGGCAAATGTACACAAATACATGTGAACGAATTCATGGGCTGTGTAATGCTAGAAATGTATTTGCCTTTCTTTTTGTGAATGAAGGAGGCAGGCCTGTTGGTTAATTCACAAAGGATCAAAAGGTCTGGGGACAATACATCTAGCATTTGGCTAATTTGAAACAAAAAAAAAGCAAACACTGATGTACCACCATTCTCTGCACTCAGTTAATGAACAATACTTAACTGAAGGCCCTTCTTGCATGCTCCAGACTTGCAAGCATATAGACGCCATCTTGAAAGTGTTCAGTGTAGATGGTGAGTATAATTGGTGAATTGCAGCTTGGGTTTAAACTGCAGTGGAAAATTTAGCAACTGGAAAGGCTGGTGATATGGCAGATCTCAATGTGGCTTTTCTAAAATGCAAGTATTGAAAATGAGCTCCCTGCTTTATAAGGACACATACAGTCATAACATGGAACATGCTAAGTATGAACTAAGGAAAACTTGACGCAGTAAAACCAGAAATGAAGGTTCTAAATAAGATTTCCTGGGAATAATGAAATTAGATGAAGTAGAATGGTATGTGTATGTGTATGTGTGTATGTGTATAT